GGCAAGGAAGGCTGCAATAAAAACCCATGGCAAGAAAGTCAGATGCAAGAGCCAAGTGCAACCTCTCCAGTTTATAAGCGTTTTATTGGGTTCTGTCCTTCAGCTACCACACCAGTTACCTCTGTGAACCAGCTTCACCATGTACTGCCCAACATGGGGAAGCTCCTTTGATGAGGGACAGGTCCCTGTGAGAGCCTGCAAGTCCCAATCGGCTACAACCTGGAAGGGTGGCTAGAGAGACGAAGCAATCAGCTACTGTGCGGATCTATTCCATTGCCTCTGAAATTTGCTTCTATTGTCCAAGGAGAATTCACATGACAGAAATGACTCTGCTTATAATTGTCCTAACACTGTTGCTAAATATATTATTTATTGACAGACATGTCCCATAGGGCTGGGGGTGTAGTGCAGTGGTAGAGCATTTGCCTACCGTGAACAAGGTCTTGTGTACAATAACCTGCACTATAAAAAAAAAAAAAAAAAAGAAGAAGAGGGGAAAAGCTAGTAAGCTTGAAACAGTTTGGGTTTCTGAAATTAAAAATTACAGAGAGTGGAGTTGGTCTTAGATCTGTAGCTCATTCTTAGGGCAACTCCAGCCCCAGTTTGTCTCTATGAAACAGCTCCCTTTCAGTTTGTTTATGGTTAAGGGGTAACTTGCACACCACTTTGCAAAATAAAGTAATTCAGAAATAGTGGAAGAGGACTTGCTATCATCAATTCATATAGCTACTTTTTTGGTAACAGTATTTTTCCAGAAATGAGAAAGAGCCAAACACATTCGGTACAGTTCGTTGTTTATAGTGTTTCTTATCTTAGAACAGTAGCTCTAAATAGTTAGTGAGTTTATTTACGAAAACATAAAGATAAGAGATTTAATTGATATGAAGAGGTTTTCAGAATCTAATTAACCTCCCGGCTAGTCATTAACTTTATGACCTTTAGAAATAATTGACAGAATTTTTTTTTCCTTATTCAGAACTTCTATCAGGTGGCTAAATTTCAGGGTAACACAAATTACACTGAACAGATATAACTGGATAACATGCCAAGTAGCTGCTGGCAAATGGTATGCATTTCCAACAGTACAATCTACCCATCTACTGTTGTATACATATACCCAATCACAGTCTTTTAGATGACACATATTTTCCAGAATGTTCTATGGATTTTTTTTTTTTTTTTTGGTTTGGTTTTTCTCGGGTACCGGGAACTGAACTCACGACCTTGCGCTTGCCAGGCAGGCGCTTTTGCCGCTGAGCTAAATCCCCAGCCCCTGTTCTATGGATTTTTGACCATGAGGATAATGAAGAAGGTGCAGTTGTCACCAGCCCTCTCTGCCCATAGCACACACTGCTGCTCAATCACGTCACACTTCCTTCTTCCCAGCAGGATCAGAACTTGGACTCCTCTTACTCAACCTGTGCTCCAGGCAAGCCCTTTCCAGGGATGGGTGCTGACAAAGGAGGGGGCCAGGCCACCACGACCGGAAGATGAGCTTCTTATATAAAACGTACAGACAGCCTGACTCACCTGCCTTCAAGAATTATATTCACTGAATGTCAGATTTAAGGATATATTTTATGGTGTGCTTCTACGGATCTATTTTATGGAAGGAGTCCACCCTCAGTAAAACTACAAAGAAAAAATGGCCTACAGATGGACTTTCAAACTCATGCTGAAGGAAATAAATGCTTAGAAAAAGGGAAGATAGATTCCTGCTACATGAAGTTTCCTTGCTGTAGTTCTAGAAGGTTCATGTAATATCATCTGGCAGGTTGTAAGTCTGACAGGGGTAGAGGCATTTTGACCCAGGAATTTCTCTTGCAAATCCTGGACATAGTACCAGCAGGTTGCCTGTCTTCTCCAAGATTCAAAGTACATTGGTCTGGAAACCCTTTACTTTCTGCTAATGCCACAAGCAAGATTTCTCCATTGCTTCCTGTGCCTTTTAATATACTTCCACCCCTCAATAGCATAACATATTTATTCTACTGTGGTTCACTTGAAAGATTCTCACTTCTATTATTATAATGTATCTGACTTCAACAATAACAAGAAAAGCCCTCTAAATTTTAGAATTATATTTATACTATAGTGGTCACCAACTAAAGGTCTACAATGTGCCACTGTCCCAGTCTTCAAAGAAGGGAAAGAAATTTTTGTAATTTTAGAAAAAGCAAACAACAAACCAAAACAAAACCAAAAGCCCAACAGCCAGCAATGGAGTGGAGAAATTGAAGTAATATGTTCAGAAGAGCTATCACCTATAATTCTCACTCTGGGTAGGACTTAGAATTATTCTTAAAACTCTGCTTCTGAATATGACACTATATATTCAACAACAAATCCTGGAAATCAGAATGTTCTGCCCTTTGATATTTTATTCAATACCTTTTAAAGCCAATGTTACTTTTACTTGGGTGATGTCAGTAGCCACTATGCAGCCCTGGATTCAAATATGCTACTACCAGGGTCCAGATGCTGGGAAATCTACAATATCATGAAAAATGGGCAACTGCTATGCATGCTAAATATTTGTCTCTTTTCACTTCTTGGTTTAGGGTACACATGAAGACTTTGGTCTGCTCTAGTTCTAGAAGGTTTATGTAAAATAATAATAATGATAAAATGGTAATGATTAATGCTGATAAAGAAGCTATTACTGACAAAAGGCTGTATTTTAAAATTGTGTTTTCTGCTCTTATTACTGTTAAATAATTCTCTGTTGACTACGTGTTAGAAGTAATGTCTATAAGTCATTAAGACTATATAATAACTGAGACAAGAGGAAATGCAGTTTTATTGCCTTGTGCAAATAATTGAAATAATCTAACATTCATATTATTATTTGTCTAACAATAGTTATTTTCTTGATACATGAGTTGTGAAGAAGCTTTTAATATTTACAAAACATACACAAATTAACTAAGAGTATTATTTTAAAAAGAAGTGGCTCTTCAGATTTCATATATAAAATTGTGATAGGATAATGGGAAATATTCATGCTTTTAAACAATTTTAGTCTCACTGTCTTTTAGATATTGGTGAATAAATACAATTACGAGTTATAAATTTCTAGTGGGAAACTTTTAAAGATATACTAAAAAATAAAATTTATGCAAAGACTTTTTGAAAAACAAGATCAATTTCTTACTCTTGTTTTTACAAACAAACCTCAACACTGAAGGTTTAAATCTTTCCATACTGCGCTATTACTTTGTTAATTTTTCAAACAATTTATTGAAAAGCAATTCTAGCTTTTGTAAACAGAACACAAGCAAGAGGGCAGGGAAGACTTACTGTGTCATTAAAAATAAAAAGTATTTCAGTTATGTTTTATAGTAGGTCTAAGGATGATTTTTAATGTACCTTAAGAATATTATTTCTTTACATTCTTTCATAAGAAAAAGACTCTCTGAAGTTATTAGTTTACTAATTATATAAATACTGGCCTAATGTTTCAAGTAAATTTAAAATAGTAACAAGAAAGAGCTATCATCTTTCCGTTCTCAAGCATCAAGTTCAAAGAATATATATAGCAGCACACATCACCTCACTCACATGATTAGAGCACCCTGAAGCCCAGACATGTCACACGTGTTTTCTCACCAGAGAATAAGTTTGCTGATGGACTCTGTGGTTATGGGGTTAAAGGTAAGACGTGCTTTGAGTTTTACAGTAAGAGTTTAGTTGAAAATTGGTGTCTGTCAAAGTGAACATGTATACTTTGGATTCTAAAATCATACGGCTACACAATCCTTCACTTCTGAAATGTGCTGTTCAAATTTTATATTGAGGAATACAATCCAGATTAATTGAAGAATTAATTTTTGGTGTTAATCTGAGAAGACAAGTAGTCAAAATGTCTCCCTTCATCTTTCCGTCTAGTCTGTACAGCCTCATAGAAGTTTCAGGAAGACCAACAGGTTCTTCATCTTCTCTGTTCACATGTAGATCCAGACACATGAAATGTGGTCATGCTAGCCGGATGTGGTGGTGCACGCATGTAATCCCAGCACTCGGGAGGCTGGGGCAGGAGGATCATTGCAAGTTCGAGACCAGCCTGGGCTACAAAGTGAGCTCCGGGCCAGCCTGAACTGCATAGTGAGATCCTGTCTCAAAAAGCCAAACAAAAAAAGGAAAAAAAAAAAAAAGAAATGTGGTCATACTAACTGAGAAACTGAACTGGATATTTTATTTAATTATAATTCATTTAAATGTGAATAGCCACTTTGCATGTCCACTGGTTGCTATATTGGAGAGCATAAATCTAGATTATTGGGTGTTTTTCAGAGAGTGCTTTGATAAAATCTATTAAATTCTAATGAACTGTCATTGAACCTTATACTTTGAGTGAGTAACATTAAGTGATGTGACGATCACTTGGCTATGTATCTGTGTTTCCCCAGACTGCTCATCCTGTTAAATACATTTTGAGGACCTACCACTCTCTACTCCTCATATTAAGCACTGTGGATGTGAGGTTGAGGAAAAGCACGCAGTCTACAAAACCTAGTGTGGGACTGGAAATTGAATAGTAACTTTCATAGTGCCCTGATGGGGAAAATAGAACACATTCTGACTGAAATATAGGGAAATCCTATATTTCCCCTAATACTGGGGAGGGACTTCAAAGATTATTTCATGAGGGTATTAAATGTGACTCAACTTGAATGAAAGGTAACTAAAAGCCAAGCCAAAAAAAAAAACATACACTGAAAGAAACAAAAATTGAAGGCAAACTCCATACAGTTCGGGGAGGGTGGAGGTCATAAATACAGGAAGTGTGTCTGGGGCACAAGGTGGGGGGCGCTGGATGGAGCCAGATCACACATGGCCTTGTGAGGCACCTTGAAAACCAGAGTCCTTGAGACGCCTTGGTCCTGTTTGGGTCACCAGGCATTCTGTGGCATGCGGCACACGACAGGAATTCAACAAATCTTTAGTGAATGATTGAAAGAATGGAAATCCATAAATGACCAAACAGGTAAGCAAATGTGTTTTTTTTTTTCTCTTAAGAAAGCATCTGAGTGTAATGTGCATTTGCATAGCACACACGGGAATAATTTCATATATCTCCATTTTTATAACTATAAAACTGGAACCTATTTAATTGCTATAATGAAAATTCAAGTAAAACGTCTACTTTCATTATTTCCCATGCATTTCCAAATTCTGTAATCCTGAATTTGTACGGTAGTTCAGTTCCTCGATGTGCTGTCTTCGCTTTTCAACAAAGAGTGTGCTCACCAATTTTCACTAACCCGTGTGCAAGGGCAGTTAGTGTGCTGCTCACCTCCAGTGGCACTGTGAAGCAACGAAGGTTAAAAGCTATTTTAAGACCTTTCAGGTCCCACTTTAGCTTTTAACTATTGATGTGCAAGGGAATGTTTTGTCTTAGATGTCTTTCAATCCAAGCAAGAGTCAGAAGACAGAAAATCAAAGCACAGACATTGTAAATATGATATATAAATATGATATTTTAAATATCATTCAAATATTGTGAATATCCTCTCTCTCGGATGAACATAAACACACACAGGCACACACACACACACACCTATTCTTGCATCTAAAAATAAAAGCCAACAATCCTCTGTTGAGACAGATGGGACTCAAAGGTTCTTTTGCAGAGTAAAATCCATCCTCACATTGTGTTCTTCTCCCCTTCCACAGAGTCACTGGACTCCTGGCCTAGACTGCATGGGCATTCAGTAGTAGCTGAGTACAAGGATGGTGAAAGGTGCCGTGATGTCCAGGAACTAAGTGATATTCCCATGAGGGTGACCTGCTTAGAAATTATGGGGTGGGTAGGGAGACAACCTGTCTAGGACTTCTGTCCTTCAAGGGATCCCCTGGAGTGCTCTGGCAGAACACATGACCTGCCTGAAAGTTCTGCTGAATTGTTTAACCTCCACCTTCATGCCAGTGGCATTCACTGCACTAATGAGGCTCCCACTCCTCTGCCCTCCAAGTGTTCCAAGCTGACTTCCGGATATATGTCCTACATGCTTACAAGCAATGCAGAGTCCCCCGCACCGTGCTGAGGGTGAGCTGCTGCTTGTCAAATCACTGCTGTGCGCAGCCCTGGGCTGCCACCACGTCCTGTAGGAGCTGCAGTCTTTGCTTCCTCCCAGGGTGCTCCAGGACTCCACCCTCTTCCAGGAACTCAGCCCAGCAGAAATCACTACAGTTTCTTCTCTTAGGTCATCGAAGAAGGAAGAGTGGAGCTAGAGAGTTGGAAGCTGTAACAAGGCAGCCCTTTCATATCAATCACACCATCTGAAATTCAGAATCCCCACTGGCTTTCAGCAACCTCACCAGCTAGCATTTTGGGTTAATATTGAGTGTATATGTCACAGAGCTAAGTGAAGTAGACTTTCTCCAAAGGAAGTACTTTTAATGCAATAACTTCTTATTTTTTAACCAGTGGATTAAAATTTTAACACATTTACTACATCTGGCATATTTATATATTGTACCTAAACAGATACTCAAGCTGCATTATAATAATAATAATAATAATAATAAAAACAAAAACCTATCTCAGTCAGTCCTTTAAGGCTCTGTGAGTCTTTGAGCCATTGTAACTGTAGTGCTAATTATCAAGCAAAGACATGATAATTACGCAGAGCTTTTTTGCTAAAAGGAGGAATCTTTTTCAACACCCACACACTGCACAATTTCCTTTGACCCTATAACACTACGCTGGTGTTGCCCAGAAATTTGTACTTCAGTCTAAATGCTGGAAATTATATTATTTTTCTCTCTTCCCAACCTTTTCTAGTTGTGAGTAAACTGTTTTTAGGAGGTTAAGGGAGAGAGGTAATGGTCCAAACGGGAAATATAAAACTAATGACCCTTCGTGAAACATATTATGTTCCTCATTAAACTTACTCAGTTAAATGTATTCCATTAAATTAAAATAAATAGGATTTGAAATTCCACCCAGGAGTAGTAAACTATCTTAACTTTCAACTTTATGTTGGATCTTTTCTAAGAACGCATCTTCCTGTCTGTCCCTGTCGTGTGGTAGGTGCCTGGCTCCCACCACAGCTCACGTCTGGGTGCTGCAGCGGGTTCAAACGTACTGCGGCAAAGACTGACTTGGAGAACTTGTTATAAATGCCATTTTCCATCTAAATCTCTTCTTCACCAAGAATCTCAAACATTCCGATTTCAATGCTCTGCACTTAGAAAAACACTCTGTGTGAGGGGGGAGTAGCATTTTAGAGCCACCACTTAGAGACTCAAAGCTTAGAGACACCATCTTCTTCCTCCACCATCTCTGTTTCTACTACTAAAATGTGGCAATGTCAAATATGTGAAGGACATGCAATTCAGGCAGCGGAGCGGGATGGACTCACAGTATGGCAGATTTACATGTTATTATGTGCACCCCCCAAAACTGAGGAATCCAATCTCTAGACTTGGCCAAGGAGTCTCAGAATGTTATTTTGAGAGATTCAGAGCTTTAATTCAGTAATCTTAAATGCGGTAAAATAGAGCTACTGCTTCGTTCTCTTTTTGAAAGTACTGGTTTTAAAAATTATATAATGTTGCAAAGGATTTTTGAGTTCAGCTCCTTCCTTCCTTTTCCCTCTTGCCTCCTCTCCCTTCCCTTCTTTGCCTTCCTTCCCCTCTGCTTTCACCCTACCCCACTTTCTGCTGGGGAACAAGTCTAGAGCCTCCTGCACATTAAACAGTAGCACAGCCACTGAGCTATAATCTTTAACCCCCTTCATCCTGGAGAGGTACCTAATTTGCTGTCTCTCTCGCAAGGCACATCAAGACAAATACTCAAGTGCAAGACCTCTGGTTCTTTTTTTTTTTTTTTTTTTTTTTTTTTTTTAAGACCTCTGGTTCTTTAACCAGGAGGTTTTGTTAAGCCTTTAAAAATCTGACTCCCAGATAGCCACCTGCCCAAGAGCATGAAAATCTCACACAAGCTAGGTGTGATGTTGCGTATGCTTCTAATTTCAGCACTCTGGGAAGCTAAGGGAGGAACACCACAGATGAACTCAGCATGGACAACTTAGTGAGACCCTGTCTCAAAATAAAAAATTAAAATAAAAAAGGGGCTGGGGAAGAAGCTGAGAGTGACGGCCCTGTGTTCAACCCACAGAACCCAAAAAAGCAAAAACAAAAACCTCATACAGCATGTGCAATTTTAAGTCATCTTTAAGCCATATGGTATCCCTGAGAAAAACCCTGAGAAGATGAATTTTCTGGATTTTAAACTCGTTTAGGAAAACAAATTTTAAAAGTCAACACATTTTCCAATTGGTTCAGTATGGTTCTCCTGCATTTCACATCCTGTTGAGTTCAAGTCTAATGACAAATTCCAACTCAAATTTGTTTGTTACCATGAAGTTTTGGTTGTTTTAGTAAGAATATGGAGTTTTGAGGATAAAATCGTTCTGATTTGGGAACATGTTGGAAATGTGAGTGTACACACCCACTCCTACACACACAAACACACCTATCAAGCTTGACAGCCAACTAGTTCTGTTCCCCATCATGTTTATGTATTTTCATATTTATACATGTGTGAACAGAAAAATCTCTAAATGCAGGCAAAACTTATGAACAATCTTAAATTGTAAGGTAAGGGCGAGTGCACAGTTCAGATCAGCAGGTAATGAAAAACTAATATAATGTGTAGTATCTTAACCACATACCACAGTAGGTCAACTTAATTACTTTTGTTTCACTGTAATAATATAACTGTCTCTGTTAGGCAAATGAATGAATGAATAAATGAATGCATAAGTAAATCTGCTCAACACTTTTGAAAAACTTTCAAGTAAAAACAAAGAAATGAAAATTAGTCTCAGACAATTATACCAGGTAAGGATAGAAGGGAGATGGAAGTGGGAGGTGCATTAATTTCAGCAGAATTAGCCCTGGATTCTTGTATAAGACAGAAACTCCGAACAACAGCAAGAATCACTTGTGCTCTGGCAAACTGACTCTGAGGACAGACTGCTGGAATATTTATTTATTTATTTTTTCAGTTCTGGGAAAGCAGGGACAAGTTAGGCAATCAAAAGTAGACAAATAGGTAAGGAAAACAGGCAGATGGAAACCATCCTCGTTATACCGCTCCCGTTCTGACTCAGCAGTCACGAAGGGGCCTGGAGGGGGCTACAGAGCAGTAGCACGTAACTACAGTTCACACGCCAAGTGTTTAAAAAGTCTCCACCCGAACCGCACAGCGTGTTACTCAGGCTAATGACTCTAAACACTTGAGCTCTAACATGATGCTTATTTTTGTCACAACCAAACAATGTTTTAATTCCGACTTGGATGCAGTATTGAGCTAACATTTAGAAATTCATTTTTAGTCATTTTCTGATTCCGTGTAACAGACTTCAGTGCTGTACACAAGGATATAATTTTTAGGGCAAAATTTTAGGAAAATAGTTCGCTTTAGATTTCCAGCAAGAATTTACATGAAAGCATGAATGAGAAAGAAGATACACACGAAGTGAAGAATTGGAAGAGGAAGTTGGAGTGAATTCATTTTTAAATATACTTAGACTACCCTGGGAAACTGTTCCACAACATAGCCATCAAAATGGGGAGGAGATGCTCCTGGCCACCACTCCCAACTCTGGTGTCCGGACACATGCACAGCACTCAACACTGAACACTCAGGAAGGATGAAACCATTCATTTGACCCTGGACCTTGATTTCTAGCAAGGGTCAGATCCTACACAGTCCCTATCATTTCACCACTTGGATTCTGAGGAGGGAAGGATGGGTGGAGTAATGGCTGGGGTGATCAGCACTGGATTTCCCTGGGGACTATGAGCATCTTAGGAAAAAGAAGGTGTGTGTGTGCGCGCATGTGCGTGTGTGCTGAGGGAACACCACACACCCTAAGGCTCTGGCAGAGCCTAGGGCTCCCCACACTCTCTCTCACCTCCACGATGTCTGAGTTTGTCCGACTCTCATGCGGCTCGTTGTACTCCGTGTACTTCAGCAGCACCTTGTCCATGTCGGTGCTGGCATACTGGAACAGCTTGTTGGTGCTGTTGAAGATGATCAGGGCGATCTCACAGTCACACAGCACGCTCAGCTCGTAAGCCTTCTTCATCAACCCAAATTTCCTCTTCGTAAATGTCACCTGGTGAAAAGAAAGCACACGGGTGGTTTATTTATTTATTTTTAAGAAAAAGCATCTATGCCTGTCTGTGTTTTCACAGCACTTTTCTTTCATTTGCAGAGCAATGGTTGTGTGGTTGTCAGGGCTTTGGGCATTAACGCATTTAGAGAGGAAGTAAATAAATCTAAAACTAGTTTCTCCTTAGAATGTGCAAACATACGATTTCTAACTCGTGGTAGAACCCAAAACAGTAAGTGCGAGATTTAATGTAGGGCGTTGTAGTGAAGGTGAGCACAGAACTGCATGCTTTGTTGTTGAGTTTAAAAAATTAATTTCAGTTTGCTTAACATCTTTTCCCATGATAAGTTCAGAGCTGTTTTTTGATCACTTGAAGACTGGACATGACTTTACAAATTGAGCATTTTTGATCGGTGTTTAAAATAAAAATCCTTAAAACTGTAGTTTTGTGCCACTTATTTGAAGTCACTTGGAGACTTATGACTGTGTTCTTCAAGTTGTAGTCTGTCTTCCGGAAATCCAGTAGACACTAGGAAGTACTTTAGCCACAATACTGTTAAGATTTTGGTTTCATTCTTCTGTGTATCTTTCTTCCTCTATCAAGCCAGAAACTGTGTTATCTCTGATTTTTCTTTCTTTTAATCTAATCTATTACCAAATTCCACAATTCCCTCTCTGAAAATGTTTCTCAAGTTTGCACTCAGCTATTTCCCAGGTTCCTCAGTCACCTGTCCAGCAGTTTCCGGTCTTAGGTGGTCTTCCTGGCGGAAGCTACTCCCTACGCCACTCACCTCAGTCTGCTAAACCTTGCTCAGCTCCCTGTTCCCTAGTTTTGTCTTCTTCCTACCTGCCAAATCCTCTCTTCCCATCCTTCTAATCCTACCAAATGTAAGTGAGAATATTTTATGTTTCTCATTTTAAACTTCTTTCAATTAGATTTTGGCTTGTCACTCCAGTCTGCCCACTACAAGGCATGAAAATTCTTAATGGTTAGTCCCACTATGGTTCAATGTTTCCCAGCAGGATAGTGTGTAGAACAAATGTGTGCAGTTCCCAGCCCAAGGGCTTCAGGTGGCCCCTGGACAGCTAGGAGTGCAGATTGCAAGTATTTAACATTGCTATGAGATTTTCATAACCCGACTGTGTGTGCTCACTCCTGGATTCTGTAGGCGACAACAGAATGTTGTGTAGCAGAAAGTGCAGGGCACTGCTAACTCTACTACTACTGCACCCACCACATGTGTGGGAATTACAATGATAGTTCAAACTACTTACATGTGTAGGCCGGGAAAGATAAGGCGTTTATGATTGTTAAAGAGATATGCAAGTTTTCTTAATTATTAAACAGGCCTGTGTTGTTTTGTAAAGTAATGTAATAAGTTAAAATGTAAAAATAAGGAAGTTTTCTTAGTTACATGCACTAATTGTATTACATATTTTATACGCGGCCCAGGACAACTCTTCTGTACTCAGTGTAGCCCAGACAATCCAAAAGGTTGGACACCCATGATGTAGAATATCATTCCAATAAAATGCTCCGAGAAAGTTCAGTGACTCTACAGGTTTGGAAAACGAGACACTAATAAAGTCTGAGAATTTTATTTTTTTCCCTCTTTCTTTTGGTTTTTCTTTTTTCTCTTCTTTCTTCCTTCTTCCCTCTGTCCTCCCTTCTTCTCTCCCTTCTCTCTCTCCTTCTCTCTCTCTCTCCTTCCCTCCCTCCCTCTCTTCCTTCTTTCTCCCCTTTTCTTTCCTCCCCCCCTCTCTCTCTCCTCTTTCTTCCTTTTGTAGTACTTGGAAATTGAACCCAGGGCCTTTACACTGAGCTACAACCCCAGACATTTTATTCTTTATTTTGAAACAGCGCCTTGCTATATTGCCCAGGTTGGACTCAAATTCCCTGTCCCCCAGCCCAACTGTCGAGTACTGGGATTTTAGGAGTGAGCCAGCGTGCCAGGCTGGTTGGGAATCTTTTAAGCTTTGTTTAATCTGCTTTCCAACCCTACTGTTTACAGAACCATTCGTTTCTTCGCTTATTTTCTTTTACTCTGAGAAGCACTTCCTATGATTCTTCATAACTAGGATTTTGAGGCACATTCTCTGGTACATGATGATTAGTTTACTTTACCTATTATTTTCAGGAGGAAGGAGTTAGATTCCCCCACTTCATTTTCACATCCAATCCATCTGCAGGGGCCAGCTCAGGTTTTTTTCTACCATTTCTTTGTAACTTCTAAATCTAGCTCCCTTCTCTCGCCTCCTGTGTCTCCAGATGCCCGATGGATGTTCTCCAGTCTGCATCTCCTGAAATGTCTTTGGAATGTGGAAAGCTCCAAGCACAACCTCCTCATCGTCACTCTCCAATCCACTTCCGGCCTGGGTTCCACATCTCAGCTCGTCATTAGCTCAGCTGTCCCAACTAGAAACCTCAGAATGAGGTTTGTATGGTGCTCCTCTGTGCTTCCAAGCCCCACACCTAAATCTGTGTGTTTACCACCTGTGGGCTAGCAGGCAAGAATCTGACTTCCTAATCTCTGCATTTCTCCACATTTTTGTGAATGTTTATTATTTTACCTATCCTCTTTTATGTGTGCATAAGAGCCAACATCATATTCTACAGTTGGTATACTTTCTGTGTAATGATTTATTAAACGTGGATCTCTCCCACTTAAATGCATTATTAATTTGCTCACTGCTCTACCCTCAGTGTAGACACATGTGGGTACATGGAAAAGATCTGTGGTATAAATAACTCAGTAAGGGAAGCCATTATGTCCAGTCTTCAGAAATATCAAGTTCAAATATGTTATACAAAATGGTATGTTAGCTATTTCCATGAAATTTTTCTAGCAGTTCATATACAGAATTTTTAAAAAGATAAATGTATGTTTAGCTTAATATTACAGAATTTTTATCACATTTGAAGGTTGAATGGTAGACTGGAAAGAAGGTGGGATTTGGAGTCAGAGAACCCTGGCTTGGAATGCTGCATTTGCAATTGATAGACATGAGAAATTCACATAACCTCTCAGAATTTGATTTATCTTATGTAAAATGGAGATAAAATCTCTTCTGTGAGGACTACATAAAATAATATATTTACAGTATGCAGTATAGTGATTACAGTAAATGCTCCATAAATCTTAGCTCCCATCTGTTTCTCAGTTGGCTTAATAGGAAAAGGAGAACTAACAAAATATATGTCTTTACTGTTGAGGATGTTGCTATTTCTGATAGAAACATAAAGGTAAACTGTCCTTGCTGGGCATCTTTTGGAAAATAAAGTATTTAGGTATCAACTAGCCATTTCATCCTATCAATATCTACTCAGACATGTTATTTATATTTTGACTTGGACAACTTTTCTCTGGAGTAAACAGCATTATTTAACCTCCTATTTTACTGTTTTTCTAGTGTACTTGTAAAAAAATAAAGCTACCATTTTATTTTATACCTGGTTATCACATACCATAGTAACTTTTATTCTGGTCCATTCACACAAGTTATGGTTAATGTTAAGGATGGGTTAAAGACTATTATTGAAATGGATAAAGAGGTATAATCACCAATTACCCAACACAGTATTTTAATATTTCTTTCAGAGGACATTTAGATACACAACTACACTGGTCTTTTATGGAGTGAAATAGGCTACAAGACAGGCTCAGTAAGAAGGCAATGACCAAAATACTTTCATATATCTAAAACCACTTTTAATCAGACATCATGACCACAAACCGTAGGTGGAATGTCTCAATACAGTATGGTTTCTGTTGTAGTAAAACCTCAGAATTTAGCACGTTACGACACTCACCATCAAAGAATATTTCAGCACAGAAATAGCACTAAAAACCACTATTTGTGTTTACTCTTAGATTCTCCTCAACTTTTGTGTAACCAAATAGGCTGTGGATAATGCATCCGTATTTAATAATACCTGTCAAAAAGTCAGTGCATATGGCTTCTTTTTATTAAAACTGCAAACTGAAATGACTATATTAAAGCATTAAAGAAAATATCTTCCAAAATCTCTTCTTAATTGCTCTAAATTTAATTCTGTATTATGTTCATATTCATCATAGCATACTCAAATGTGTTTTATAATGCTTTTTCTCATTGTTCATCTTTGGATAAAATTGTTTTTAAGCATTAAGCTCTCTAAAGAGATCTAAGATATTACTCTTCATTTAAAATATGCCATTCAATGACAAAGATTGCAATTCAGAGCTTTTATATTTAAATATAACAATGTATTGTAATGATTACATTTTTCATAACTTGACAATGGTTTTTAATGGGCACCGTCCATGTTTCTATTTTGATAGCATACTCTGAACTTTAGTTGAGGCAGAAAGCTGGTTTTATGGTAGGTACGCAAAGAGATGCTCTTCCCAGTGTTTACCTCAATCATGGTACATCAAGAGAAGAATAAATCCAATATTATTTAAGTGGACACTGTAATTCAACATCTAGTTTTCAGAACTAAGAGATTTAATAAGCACATATGCATGAAAAACAAAACTACAAGGTAAACGTTGATCGTTTTATGCTATTTTCTTTGCCTGCTGAATTTTAAAAGCCTCAAATGTAATCATCATGTTCTATAAGGATGTCTCCATGTGAAATTCTATAGTAACTCTGAATTTTATAGCTTACCATAAGGGCAGACATCCAATATTTTATGTTGACAATGACTTTAGGACTTACTAGGTGTGAATCAGAGATTGGGAGTTTGAGGTGAAGAAAATGTATAGTCATTAAATACAGCACTACATAATTCAGCTCTAAAAAAATTAGGGATATCTATCACAGATACCTAAAAGTGTTTTGGCCAATCTTCATCAAGCATTTTCTACATGCTAAATACTATGCTGAGTCACGTTTATCAAGTGTTGCCCGTGTCAGACACTGTCCCTGGGTACTGTGGTTTCTATTACGAAAAGTAGTATCTCAAGCACTTGTCAATGCTTTTTGGCTGGAATAGGAGTCACTTAATTCCTTAACGC